TGAAGGGGGAAAATTAACTGCATGAAAAAATATTCAACACAAGCGCAGCTATTCTGTACGTTTTAACTTTCTCTGGGTTCGTGGAGTAACAAATTAATTTACTTCCATTTTTATTAACATGGACTTCTGCAAAGTAACATCTGAATCCATTGACTTAGAAATAAATGGACGACGGGTCTAATACAAAAACCACGAAAAAAATGTCCCAAGTCAACCTATTTAAACGTAGTGACATGTAAAGGAATATGAAAAAGCTGAAACGTTGAATTTAATTGTAATGTCATCGCAGTACTGTCTAATTTTGCTTGCTTCGCTGTCAGAAGAAACAAACGAAGACTAAAGCGTGAATAACGCTCTGTATACGATTTTAACGCCCTATAATTTCGGACACTTTTTAGCGCGGACTCGACGTCCATATAATTGTAAGTCATTGCCTGAATCTATTAATTATTCATGCTTTTTACACATACAATTTAAATGTCACTTTGTGCCGCTCTTAAGACGATTCAAACTCCACAGAGTAAATACGAGCGTGCTGTTGAATATAATGTTATGACTGAAATTTCGCAGTCTGATTTCCAATCTACAATGTATGCATTACTACTTTTATGGAATATGTGTTACAAGGAGAACGAAAGCAAATATAAAGTACGTGTTATTGTACGTTGACATGAAAGTTTCATCTGTTCTGATACATTTTTATTTTTAGTAGGTAAGGTAAGGTAAGTAGGTAAAAGATTGCTGGATAAATATATAAGTTACAAGGCCAAGGAGACCTTGTGTTAATACGAGTCAAGCAATCCCCGTTCCCGCCGAGGCATATATGGTGTTGTTCTCAAAGAATGTGAGGAAGATGTATGTATAGAAAAAGTAAAAAAATATCAATTAAGATTAAAAGTAACATTTGATTAATATTGCCTCTTGTTTCATATTAAGTGGAGTATAATCCATTACTGTAATTTTGTTACCGCACTTTTCACTCATTTTCGCGATGAAAAACCAGAAAAGAATACCATAACACTTAAGATTATCACTAACACCTTTTTCTTTTCTTTTTTTTAAGTAAGCGATACAGGCAAGTACTTTGAATGCCCGCATTTACGAACACAGGGTAGTTGACTGTATGAGTTTTTCTTTTGCCTGTTTACGTATTACAATATTAGTAGATCGATTTAAAAGTTTAGAGCAGCGGGCAATATAAGGATGTTCATCACATATTTGCTCGTAAACAGTGTCATGACATGCAGGCAAAATCGACTGTAATGTCCTATATTATGCCCACGGGCCTTTTCATTACATTACCGTCGTAGGGCGGTAATAGATTTTTATTTTATTACATTGTACTTCTCTTATACGCCAAGATTAGGCAAAAGTTTTTATGCTCAAATAATCTGAATGTATTTCACATAAGTTTCAAATATAGAAAAAACACTAAACATTTGCAAATTAACTATATTATTAATTAACTATAAGAAAAGAGCAACCCCTAGAGTTTCTTGCTTATTCTTCTCAGGGAAGTCAGCATAGTAAATGAGCAGTAGCTTAAAAATGGATTAAATAATTTGAATTTAAATTTTTAAAGACTTTGTTGTAATTTACGAAAATGTTGACATTTTGGTATCTAGACACGAAAACACGACTTGATTAATTTATACCAACCCTAGACATTGTATTTAAGCTGTTGTGAATCTTTGTGTATATCTGTAAATTGCACCTTTCATTCTAATTCGTCTATTTGTATTTAATATGTAAGTTTCTTTTCAATGTTGTCCATAATTACAACATTACGGGCTATGTTTAATATTCGTCAACAATTATCCAAAATGTCTTTCTATCCCAGGTCCAGAAGACAAGATGACTCTAGAACAGCCAGCTGGTGAGATGTGGCAGAAGATCCGCGAGGAGCTCAATGAGAACCAGGCCACCAAGGATCAAGACCTCGCCCATATCAAGGAGTGGCTGAAGCAGGAACCTCATTTACCTGATGAATTTGGTAAGAAAATCTTTTATTCCACAATCATCATCATCAATCCATTCATCAATCCATTTCTGAGTATCTACTATTTCTGAATGTTACATAAAAACTACTAAATGCCTTAATTATATAATACCTATAACTTATACAACATCTCTAATTTTCACTATACATTCTACAAGGTATAGTGATAATTCATGTTAGAAGAGGAACTGCGGATAATCCAAAAATACCGAATGTGATGTTTACTTTTGTCATCTATCAGAAGTTTTAAACCATTCAAAATACAAAATATACAAAAATAAAAAGTAAAGATTGTAACAACGCTACTATTATTAACATTTGTACTGCAGTCATGACTGCTACTATTGATGTACTTAATGAACATGATATCATGCAGTAATATTCCAAAGGTTGTCTTGATCTTACAACAACAATAAATGGGAATTTCATTGTGCTAATTTTAGTACAAAACACAATATGAAGTCCCAGGCTCTTAGTACTTGTACTTTACGCTTCTAAACCGGAACGTAGTAATGCTCACATTACATATATAGATAAGGTGGCATTACTTCCCTAGACGAACTCTTTCATAATTAGCTCTACTGCTACTAAAACTTCAGTCTGCGGTATCGCAGCTGCTAAACGGAGGAACTGAACTTAAATTTGTTTTTTTATCTGAAGGCTAATTTAATCAGAATGGTCCTTAGCTATGTTCCACTGCTACTAAACGAATAGACTGTTTAAACAAAAGTTAATCCTCGAATTACAGAAGTTTATGGGTCATGTCAATAATTTGGTTCAAATTGCAAACTTCAGTTAATAAGCCAAATAAAATAGCCAAATGTTTGGCACAAAAGAATAATTACAAGTGGTTTGTACAAAATTCAACACTAAAACATGTTATCAAATTCTTGCGAAATTCACTATGAATAAGCAAGTTTTAACTAATCCAGAAATTTGTCCTTGACATCGAAATCACTTAGCAATTTTTTGAGACCGAATAATTATATAGTTATGTACGAGAATTATTTGACCAGATTACTGTCGTAAGACTTCTTAAAGCCAGTGTCATTGTAAACAATTACATCCAGAATATTATAGATGTCATCGTTTCACCTTGTATGATTTGTGTTCCTGTAGTTTACCTAACATTATCATTGATTAAGAAGCAAACGTTCTTTGTCAAGGTTACCGATTTCATTTTTAAGAATATGAAAATATTTCATGAGAAGGATTCTGCACAAAAAGATGATCTATTATTTTGAATTTACTTTCTTGTGTCAGATGACCAGCGCATCATGACCTTCCTCCGTGGTTGCAAGTTCTCCTTAGAGAAGACCAAGCGTAAGCTGGACATGTACTTCACCATGCGTACTGCTGTACCGGAATTCTTCAACGACCGTGACGTCACCCGTCCTGAACTCCAGGAGATCTTGAAGATTGTGTAAGTATTAGGGAGTCCTAGTAATGAAAAGACTCAAAGAACTGGGAATTGGATAGATTTATCTATTTCGGGACCACAGCACATGAAAACCTGTATTCTCCACTTATCACGGTTACGTTTTTGAATATGTTTTAAGTAAATGAGCTTCAATTGAAATTCCTTTTTCTTTTTTCTTGTGACACGTTTAATAAATTCATCCTCCCTAGAACTTGCTACCAACTGTATACATTCTGTATAATCTTCACTAATAAACTCTAACGTATTGTGCTTGTCCTGTAATTTGTTTAATGCAGTAATCTATTTAATTATAGAATAAATTACTAAGAGCGATAGCTATCTGAAATCGACTTTAATTGCTAGGTAGTATTTTCCAGAAGACACAAGGCTAGTATTATATACACCTACTTGAAAACTTGCAACAATGTTGCTATTGTTCGCAACTTATAAAATCATAAGAAAAATATACGACCCTATTTTAGCAGGTTATCGTCTTATAACAATAATTAAAATAATAAAACATATTGTGGTTTCACAATTAAAAAATATTTTTGCAGATGTCATATATTATTGTGAAATATGGCCGGTCTTAAAAAAGAATAAATCCATAAATGATACGCTTAAGCAGCGTAAAGAGTACGTCAAATGAAGGAAATTAAGCTTAATTTATTATTGGAAAACTTACGAAAGCAAAAAATAGAACCGAGCGCAATAATCATAGACTAGAAACATAGAGTAATAATCTGAAATATAAAATCGAAGTGTATTTATAAGTGCTCGGTCCAGTGACCGATCCAAAACAACATTGATGATTTTATTTCAACTCTATGCTGCTTAAGATAAGAATGTAGCAAAGTCAAGCTCTATGAACTCTTGACTGTACAATGTATATCGTAATAAAGCTACATTACAATAGTGATTCACTGATTGAGCAGTTGTAACATTGCAGACAATAGATGGGTAGTAGCTGTTAATCTTAAACAAAGAAATAAGGGTACACCAAGTACACAAAAAAGCATTATGCGACCAAAGCATGACTAAAGGGGATTTCCAAAATTATAGTGTCTTCTTGGGGCTCCTCTCATAGCGAAGGTTGGACAAGACGGCAATCCTGACTTTAGAGGCTGCTGCTCTAAAGAGCGAGGTGGTATTGCAGCCGAACCATTCCCTCAAATTCTTTAACCAGGAATGCCACCTTCTACCTACACTTCAATTCCTGCGATTTTGCCCTGAATGATAAGCTGGACGAATTTGTACTTATTGTGTATCATGACGTCGCCGATGTTAGATGCTTCCCCGCTGGCGTGTGTTCACTAACTCCATCTTTTTCTTTAGTTTATCGAGTACTACTATATTTGTAAGCAACTACATTAAATTTAAGACACCTTACAAGTGAGTTACTAATGTTTTGCTTGATAATTATATTAATCTTTGGCGTAATGTTGTCAGACAGACAATGCTCCGTCAGGGCTCAAGGCGAAAAACATGTAATTTGTTCAAAACAATTTAAGTTCAACAACTTTTATTATCCAAATGCCGCTCGTACCACGTCAAACAGTTGTTTTTTTCGTAAGAACTATAATTAATGACTCAAATTGTTATTTAGGATACGCACGATAGTAAGTTACAGGCAAAAAAGTCGCAAAAACCCATTCATCGTGCGAACTGATCAATTTATTTATACAAATTTTATTAGCATTTTTCATATAGCATCTGCTAAATTGAAAAGAAAAATCAGGATCATGAATGAAATTTAAGTGTTTGTTTTCACTAATTAATCTCTTATTAGTTAAATCAGTGTACTCATCTTTACAAGATTATAAATTATCGATGATCTGACTAGAGAAGGCAGATGTATCTCCAGTTGTCTCAAGTAGTCGTTTTTAAACATTGTCATGTATTTAAAAGTAAAAATTGGAAATAAATGTATAGGATACTGTGCAAAATTTTCCAAACATTATTACCTTCAGTACTTCAATACCCTCTATAAAATGAAATATATTACGAAAGCTTTGCCAGATAGAAAGTGGTAGTTTTAGTTTATATCCGATAGAAAGTGGTAGTTTTAGTTTATATCAGATAGAAAGTGGTAGTTTTAACTTACTTAAGTGCTAAATTAAAATTAAATGTTACTAAAAGAGTTTAACACGCCGCTTGTCTATTATAACAGATAAAATAAAGAATAGTAAATCTATACATGACGTCTTTGATTGTCAGTTTGACAATCTTTTCACAATATTTTTAATAATAACTTTGTTTCTTAATTTTCTATACAATTATCAGATTTTAGATATTTCTATTTGTGATGATATAAATTATTATTTCATTACAGTCAATTCCCTCCTCTGCCTGGTCTCACTCCTGAAGGACGTCGTGTCACTATCATGAGAGGTAAAGGCTTCTTGGTATTAGTTTTAATCCATATGAGTTACATCATACCGCCTTAATAAATAGGTCTAATTATAATTATCAAACAAAGATTTTTCACGATTATATTATTGATAACTACATTTACAAGTAATTTATTTGTATTAAATAGCAGTCCTTTGTTCATCAACGTATGATAATCAAACTATTATTAGATGACAAGTAATATATACAAAAAGTTGTTTTTTTTTTGGTAGTACAGATTTTCGACACAAAACATAGGTAGGTGACTGTGTTATAGTATATTATTACATTACTTATTTATATTAGTATTTTCTCTTTTATTTCCACTTAAAGTGTAAAAGGATGCAAATACATATTTTCAATTTTATTCGTAATGAATTGACATATAAAATTTAATTAAATTTTTATTGAATTGATATTCAATTATTTTTTGTGAAATTACTCCACTAGTTTGTTATAATTATCAATACACAGATCAAACACTCAGAAAAAACACTCAGAAAAAATTCGAATCGGTTCGAATCCGACCGGATCGAAGGAATTTTTTCTGAGTGTTCGATCTTTGTATTAATAATTATATAAAATTTATTTTCATGGAACCCTAAATTATTTTCTTTTTCCGTCTTTTATTATCTTATTGTATCTTGCTAAAGGTCATATGGGTCTAAAATATTTATGCCATTGGCCACAAGATTTTGTTAATGATAATATAAATTATTTCTTATATTAACAGGTCTCGAGAAAGACGTCCAGACTCCTAATGTAGCTGACGCTTTCAAGCTAGCATTTATGCTCGGAGATGTTAGGCTGGCTGAAGAAAAGGAAGGCGTTGCAGGAGACGTTTACATCTTGGACGCCTCTGTGGCTACCCCTACTCACTTCTCTAAGTTCACACCTACTTTAGTGAAGAAGTTCTTAGTTTGTGTACAGGTCTGAAAAAGGGTTATTAAGTTTATTTCTGTATATAACAATTGAAGTTACAAAACCGTGCCCTGTAGAACCCCATTTATGTTTCAATATAATTTGCTTCATGAAACATTTTCGTTGTTTCGATAAGTTGGCAACAAAGCTACATAACATTATTTTTTAAATACTGATTCTAGAAACAATACTCATGAAATGTAGACTCGTTTCGAGAAAAGAAACAGACACATTATAAAGCGCTTTGGAAAAATTGATGCTAGTAAATATTAGAAAATAAATGTTATTTTAATATTTAACAGGAAGCGTACCCAGTTAAACTGAAAGAAGTGCACATCATCAACATCTCACCTCTAGTAGAAAAGATCGTCAACTTCGTCAAACCCTTTCTTAAGGACAAGATCAAGGAAAGGGTAAGCTGAACACACTTTTTATGTTAATTAATATTCTGCGGTTTTGCAGCTTTGTTTAACACATTAGTACCTACGTTTAAAAATTTTACATATTTTGTTATGTGGTATATGAATAATTCAAACTGTAGCAGCTATTGTTGGAACTTTCAAATGTGATGTTATTACCAAAAAAATATATACAAAAAAGATTGGTCATTTTTCACTTTAGCGCAAACGAGTCAAATTCAAAGTACTTAGCTGGATTTCTATACGCCGTATCGTTATCTCAACTACATCAAGTACCTTCTTTCTTAGATAACAAAGCACCTGCTTCAAAGTAATAAGTTTTTGATGGTGTATTAATTTGTAATATTGTTTCTTGTTAATTTTCAAAAATTGTATCCAGTTTTATTTCATTTCTATTTAAAAGGATACATTTGATATTTTTATTTTATGTTTTATGCTTTATTCACCCAAGATCAGTAGATAAACATGGCTATTAAATAATTATGTACCCTGTTATATCTTTGGATTTTACCGCAGATCTTCCTTCATTCTGACGTCAATGACTTGTACAAGTATGTGCCCAAAGAGATGCTCCCGACCGAGTATGGCGGTACCGCAGCCTCCATGAATGATCTCCATAGTAAGTTTATGTTTTGTCTGTATTTTTAAATCGTTTTCTTTTTTTCGTACTCCAACGTAACAAAACAATATCAAAACAATACTTACCAGCTATGACAACCGATCCTGACAAGCGAGTCTGCGCAAGCATATTAGTTACGCCGCTATATTTAAATTTGATCACTCATTTTCAATTTTAGACAATTTGCATGTAAAATTCATCATTGAGTGTTTTTTATTTTGTTAAAATTTTACAAACTTATGATTAAGATGGATCGGTTCCAAAAATAAACTGACCGTTTCGTTTTTAGACTTAATAGCAGTCAGCAATATCGAATTAAAACTCAATATATAAATATTCTTCTAAAGTTTCAAGTACTGCTTGATGAGCTTAGCACCACAATCTGACACCTTAATGTCTTTTCAGTGGCCTGGGTAAAGAAACTGGAAGAATACAAGGACTGGTTTACAGCACAGGAGAATATCAAGGCGGATGAGAGTCTCAGACCCGGCAAGCCTACCAATTACGATGAACTGTTTGGTATTGATGGATCTTTCCGTCAACTGGTCATTGATTAGATCTTTTTCTAGGTTAATCACTTCTAGGTTAAGCAACTTGAGCGTTATTACATCTTTAAAAGTTTATATACAATTTGTAAACTAACAATAATTGCAGAGGAATCACGAAGAACATTGGTAGAATCTATATTTGATTTTGTACACGTACATTTATTTATAAGTAAAATAATCGGAAAAAATTATTTCTGGCAGTTCAATATTAGACACTAACAAGTGTCTATGTCAAGTCTTTAATTGTTATCGTAGTGACAAATCAGACATTACCCAAGTTGCTTAAAGAAGAATAATTAGTTATAAGTGCTACCTTACCAAATTGAAAAGGCGTGGTGTTTTTAGCAAATCTTTATGCAGCAACGTCTCTTAAATTTTATTCAGGTTCTATCGCTTTTCAGTTACCGCATAATTTGGTGTTAATAATTTTGTTGATGTTTTGTCAGCCAAATCTCTTTGCTCAAATAAATATTTTAAAGTAGTTATTGTCATTGTTAATAAGCATTTCATTCAATATAATATTCTTTTTGTATGACTTGTGTTTTATTTTTCGTTATCTCGAATATAGAATTAAAGCAGGGCTACTGTCATAATGCACAAGGCTTGTTTCCTTATTTCATTCGTTATTATAATAATATAAAGACAGTTGTGGTAAATTGAACCTATTTAATACAAAGTTTATATAACTACAGAGCATTTGTTTTTCAAATATTATGTAGTTATTATAAATAACATCACACAATTAAATCAAGGAATGGCTGTAGCTTAAAAAATTAATTGGCTTGTGCCAATACTTGTATTTGTGTACCGAGCCCTGATGTAAAGAGTTCAAAAATTAACTCCGAATTTTGTACAAATCGTGTGGTGCCTTGTAGTAAGCGACATGCCTATGCCTAACAGTTGCAATACCCAGAACTTCAAATCGCAAAATCCTGAGGTCCACAGGTCCAGGAACAGCTAAAGAGCGAAATTCCCTGCCTGCATACTTATTCACTGAACGGTATAACTTGGGTCTTTTCAAGGCGAGAGTGAATACGCATTATTTAGGTGTGCATGTTACATCGTTGATCTCATCGTCACTTGCAATTAAGTGAGGTCAAATGCGCACTTATTTCTGTATACAAAAAAAACTGCACCAGTCACACTGAAACATGAAGTAGACAAGCTCCATATGCCTGTAGTTTCACCAGCGCCCTAACCTTTAAAAACCGGAACGCAGTAATGCCCACATTACTACTTGCCGGCAGAAATAGTTATCGATGTACCGATAAATACCAAGTACTAATACGTAACTAGTGAACCAATGGTGTACAAAGTGTACAATTACAGTTACCTAATAAAAATGGGACGAATTAACGATTTTTAGAGCAGTAGGTTGCAAGACATGATAGCGTTGTTGCGAAGCGATGAAGCAGACCGAAGAATTAACAAAGAGGATGTCTTGCAATGGAACGAATGAAATAGATCGGGTAATGCATTAGCCTAATTATTTCTATGATTACAAATACGCAACCCAGTCAACAGCCTTTCTACATCAAACAGTTAATGAAATCCAAATAGATAAATAAAACTACTACCTAACCAAACATCCAAAATCTTCGCGGCACTGCATATTGGCTGCGACAAAAAGGATTGAAACCACCCAACATTAAATGTACCGAAACCAAATGTGCAAATAGCTGCCCCCTGATAGGTTTCGTTCAAACACACTCTATGAGCAAATGCTGTACATCCTCATGAATTCCACACTCTTATTACAAAAAAAAATGTTAATTGAACGTGTCCAGATCAAAGACTATGCGCGCTGACAATTTGGGCCCTGCTTAATTTTACTTGATCAAACCAAGGAACGCGAGGAGGCTTCAGAGACTTTCACAGTTTACGTCACATTCACAGGCATTTTGCTTTGGGGTACTGCCGGCGATATTAATAGAATCTTTGTCTTGCAGTGACGTACGGTTAGGGCAATTTACAATCTGGGCCCCAGAGTGTCTTTGAGAGATAAGTTTAAAGAGATTACACTAGCGTCACAGTACATTTACGAAAATGTTATTTAAATTAACAAGAATAGTATTTTTTTTTATTCAAAATAGTGACAGGCATAACATTAATATGGGAAATAAAAATAAACTAGCTAGTCTTGACAGTCGTTTGCACAAAGTGACAAATTCATTTAAGGGGCAATACATAATTAATCTTCCATAATAAGATTCCAGTTGATATTGCCATTTACGAGGTTTAAAACTATAGTGAAACAAAAACTTTATACTAAAGGTTATTTATTATACAGTTACCGCGTACTTGGATAACAAGAAACCGTGGCAGTTATAAACGAGTAACTGCCACGGTTTCTTGTTACCCAAGTACGCAGGTGGTCTCATTCTAAGAAGTTTGAAATAAATATTGTAAATCTTAAATGTATTCAAATGTATATATAAAAGGGCAACCCCTAGAGTTTCTTGCTCATTCTTCTCAGGGGACTCTGCCTTATAAATTAGCAATAGAGTTTAATTAATTGACGATTTCAAGTATAATTAGGTTACCTATGAAATAAATGTGATTTTACACAGAGAAACACAGAGCCTTTCTTAAAATAATCTTTAGACTTTCAGATGCAATAGTTGAAAATCATCTACGTGCCTCCATGTCGAGTGCGGGAACATTGTTCCAAAATATATTACGATTATTACATTGATGTTGCGTCCTACTCCAGAAAACACACTGTACCAACAAATTTTTTTTATGGAGGGATTTAATATACCGTATTGATATTCAAATTTATGTATCTTAACATTTCTTTAATCTGCTATCTTTTCGACTCAATTATTGTAAATAGAGCGCATATCTTATGGTAGTTGCCATAGCGTTAAAAAAATATATGGTTATCGAGGAACATCCATTAAGTTCTAGATGTTTCGGTCGTTTATCACAATAACAAAAATATATACGATAATTATATAAACACGGATAAGCTACAAATTTAAATTCCCATTCTCTCATGTGAACTTACTGCATTTTTTCATATTTTTTTGCGTCAACAACTCTTTACGTCACCGAATAATTTAGTCTCTATATTTAAATAAATAAACAACGCTCATATCCCTGCACTAGAGAAACCGTGTATTGCGGGTTCCGTCGGCACACACATAGGTACATAATCACAAATTACACCCAAACTCACGAGAGAAATAAATGTATGATATACAAAGATTTCTCCCAAATCCGGGACCTCTGCGTGGGACTCCAGCATGGTAACCGTTCGGTCAATTTTCTTTCGGAAGCTCCATACTTGACATTGTCTTTGGATTTGGTCGCGTATTACTTATTTGACAGTAATTATTTCGGACGAATGTCGGACGGGGGATGGGAGTAGACCCCCTGGTTGCAGTATCAGGTCAAAGTAATGTAAATATTAATGTAATGTTATCAGTTGTTCATGGTGTATGAAATTTCAAGCAGATCGGACAAGTGGAAGTAAAATCAATATTCATTTTATGATTGATATTCTAAACTAACCAGAAAAGGATCTGGTGATCTTTATGAGCGTAAATAACATAAGCTACGCGGACGATATGGTGCTGCTCGGCCCGTCAGTCAGTGCGTTGTGGAAACTATTAGAGCTTTGTGAAAAATATGCGGCCGCGCATGGCTAACGTTACAATGTAAAGAAGAGTGAATTTATGATTTTTGAAGCGGGTGTTTTTTTTTTCTCTTATAAACCTCTGACATTACTCGTAAGAGCCTAGATATTCACTAAATTTCACTTCCATACAAGTTCTCGCTATTATTCCTCTCGCACTTTCATTCCTCGTATAAGTTCTTTTTGGCATACGTATCTTTAACTCTATTGCAGGTGGGATTCCTGTCTATTCTATTTTATTTATATCAATATGTTTTCCTCCTTCACTTTCACTTTTCTTTATATTTTACTTGGGTAATAAGGGGTGTACACAACATCGTTTTTTATTTCCAATAATTTTGACTTTCTTACACGTATACATATTTTGATATGTTTTGTTTTTATCTTAAAATATTTTATTTTTACATTTATTCTTAAATTAACCATATCCTAAGCAATTTGTTATCGGGCTACGTTCTTTATATTTCGTTTATATCTTATGTTACATTAACAATCTTAAGCTATTTCCTTTCTATTTCTATTACATGTTTTCTTATTTCTAGTTTCAATGTATGGTGAAACATTAGTATTTACACCAGACTACGTCATCATACGTTACTTAAACTACCTATTCCTATTATTTACTTTTATAACTATTTTGTTATAATAACTTAAGAAGTTATCTCTATTTTTGCCGGCCATGATGGACGCCATATTATCTACAGTAATTTTACATTTTATTTTATGTTCTGCTTCCAGGCGTTCAAGACCAAATACGGGACACTCCGTCAAGACGTGGGGAACAGTCTCACTTTTTTCGGAGTCACATATACATGACGGGCTCTCCTTACGCTTAAAGCGGTGCAGGTATTCGGAGAACCCGCCATGCCCGGTTAGTGTCTGTGTGCTGTTTCGCGTTGGTTCGAATTTGCGGATAAACTCTGTATGCGGCGATCGCATCCGGGAGAAACAGTTTTGTGAGTGTTTCACCAGACTTATATCCTTCGTTCCATCCGCAAAGAGATTCAACATTTGTCGTAATATGGCTTCTTCTTTAGTTTCTGTGCGGCCTCCTTGGCGAGCGCGTCCGCTCTCTCATTTCCCTCCAAATCCGCATGTGCTTTAATCCAGAACAAGGCGACAGTCTTATTCTGTTGAGACGCTGCTCTTAGGTTCTCTTTTGTTTCTACTGCTAAGAGGTTCGTGACCATCTGTAAAGCCGCCGTTGGTCACTGTATATGCCGTAGCTGAGAGCGTTGCACCTCCTTATTTGCCTGGTCGCTTCACAGATGGCGAGCTCGCCTCAAAAGCCGTAAAGTTTCCTGCGCACCACAAAGGCTGCAAGTGACCATCCAACTGTTACTAGGTTTGCATTGTGGAACCGGAAAACCCCCCACCACCTGGTTTCATCATACCTCAAGAGCAACTACCACCAGGTTGCGATCTGCGGTGGCCCGTATGGAAGCCCTTAAATCGTCTTCGCACTCAGGTAGGACGCTGCAGAGACACGATGTGTAAATGGAGTTTCAGGGATACTACTTAAACCCAATGTGACTGCGGCGCCCCAACACAGTCCATGCAACACTTACTGTTGTGCCCCTTGTGTCCTAATACCTGTACGAGGGAAGATCTCTACGCGGCCACAGACAGCGCAGTCAAGGTAGTAACGTACTATTCAGACGACACGACAAGAAGAAGGTAACTTGTTTTCGTCATTTCCATAATATTTGCAAAGTAATAATTTTTAACACATCAGAAGTTATTGTGAATGGTGCGCAACAACAGCGAAAAGATTATTACAAACGAAACGATGCTTTAGGCTCAAACCGCAGAGAAGTTAGTCGCCACAAGTGTGCAATAACCTCAGCGCTCGTGTAACACGGCCTTTTTCAACACATTTGTGAAAAAAATGCAAAAAAAAATTTTCTGTGTTAACCACAATAATTTGTAGCTTTTAACCACGTCAAAAAAGGAAGAATGTATGTTATTCGATTACTCCAATATTTGTGAACCGATTTCGATGATTCTTTTTTGTTGGAAAGTGCGTACCTCAGTAGTGGCCCCGTTCAAATTTGAAGAAAGTAATCTAACCTCTAAGGCTTGCGTCAAATTTCCATTATTTTTATTAGAAGTAAAATTATTTCAAATATTCCAATTTTTATTGAATAAATATTCAATTATTTTTATATGAAATTATTTCAAAAATCGAACACTCAGAAAAATCCTTCGATCGTATTAATAATTATAACAAACTAGTAATTTCACATAAAATAATTGAATATCAATTCAATAAAAATTTAAATACAATGAATAGCGACGTCTCTAGTCGGGGCTGGTAGCTGTAAAGGTATTTAACTGGGTGACGAAATATCATAGATGGCGCTACGGCTAAAAAGTCGTTGAAAAACCATATACAAAGATACGACGCAAGCACATAGAAAAATTCGTGTGGTCCGCTGGTTCGTTCCGTGGCTTAGTTAGTATAGCGTCTGGCACAGTATGCTAGAGACGTCGGTTTGAATCCGGTCGGATCGAAGGAATTTTTTCAGAGTATTCGACCTTTGTATTAATATTTAATATATTGTTACCACACGTACAGAACCTTGAACCATGTCTAACTTTACACTTTAAAAAATGAACTCGGTGGTATCGATAAAGGGGTTCAAATCACAAAACGTGATTTGAACCCCAGCAATTCAAATCACAAAACGAAGACCAGCGAACTGTTTACTGTACTATAACAACCGAATGTAAACAACGATCAATTTAATTGATCAATTTAAATCAAACAGTGAACCAAATTGAAGACATTAAACTTTCGAATGTCAAATGAATTTGTAATAAATAATACACAGCTACTATCAACTTAAACAAAAGAAACACTAACAAATCAACATACAAACGCTACAGTCCCAAATCAAAAACAAGATAATAATATCGGCCTACTATCTCAACCAGATTAAAAAAGTCCATAAAATGGATAGATAAAAAGCATTATGAGTAAACGAGCGTGCATAAGAAGACCTATGCGAGCGGAGGAAGCGAAAAGATACGTCAGGAGCACAGTGAGTGGGGATATATGGTCTCTGCCTGCCCCAGTGGAAGACATGCATGGAGTTACGTGTGTACTTTTTTTATATAAAATAAAGTGCGCGTTTAACCTCCATCTTACCTTATGGAAAGTGAGCATGAGGTCAACGATGGAGCATGCACGCCTAATAAATGCATACTCAATCTCGCCTTGAAAAGATCTAAGTTACAGAGTTCAGGAAATAAGTCTTTTTAACCGACTTCAAAAAAAGGAGGAGGTTCTCAATTCGACTGTATGTTTTCTTGTATGTCTGTAACCGAATTTGTGAACCGATTTTGGTGATTTTTTTTTTGGTGGAAAGAAGGTATATTTAATTGGTAATTTGTAGAAGGTAATTTGAAGAAAATATTCCACCTTTAAGAATGGCAAACTAGGGGATGAATGACTTTTAAGGTCGGTTTTTTATTTATATCACGTGTGATATAATATTTTTATTTATATCACGTCTCGTCGTGACGAGACGAACAAGTCCCACCCATAATTTTTGGAGGGAAAGTTCCACTGTATAATCATTCGTCGTCTTTTCTTCGTTCTATGTATATTTACAAATACCATTTAATTTTAGGATCGGTTGACTTAAGAGTCGACACTACCTCAGCTCCAACTAAATTTTTTACTTTACTAATACGGTTTATTTTGCTTGAGACGAGCGGCTTTATTTCTGAATTATTTTTTTTACAAATACAATTAAAGCCATTTGAAAAACTCATCATATACTATACGTGTACTATTTACGTGTACAAATTTATAAATTACAAAATATACTTAGGAAATGAAACTATTTTTCCGGATTTAAATCGCGTAGGTATATTTGTTTTTTCAAACAAACCGACGTTTCGGGCCCTTTACAGGTCCCATGGTCACGGTTGACTGAGGTGGTACAGTCTTCAACCAGTTATGTCTAATATTAATACAAACCACCCTATTTTTTTCACTATAGTTACAATAGTTAATAATTAAATACCTTATTTTTAATTTTACAAAAAAACATTCCAATTTACGCTACATTAAGTTTTACAAATTATTTTATTGAATAAATTTTTATTAAGTTTAATTTATTATTAATTCTTAATAGAAATTAGAATAAAGTAAAACATATTAATTAGTACTGCAGTCTTATGTCTGTTTGGGATTTTTCATTAGAGGAAATACGGGATCCCAAACTGGTGGTACGGAGAAACCATCTTCCCTGTTGAAATTAGGATGTTTTTTAATTTTAATGGCCTCTCGCAGCATTCTGGGCAGATAACGGACTTCTTTTGTAAGGACCTGGGGTTTGTCAAACTTCATTGAATGTGTAGGTTTATCCATGACATGCTCGCAGACTGCAGACTTGTTTACGCGACGGTGTTTGGCATCAGCTATATGTTCTTTGACGCGGGTACAAATACTTCGCAAAATGTACTTTAAACTTAGAATAATAACGCATAGAAACCTAGTCCACACACGCTAAGTGAGGCAAATTGAATCGCTCCCAATGGGCCTACACGAGCGGGCGGGCCTTCAGTGCTCAAGGCCAACTTGCACCGCGAACAGCTCAAGAATTTTTGCTAAAAATGATGAAATGTGCGGTAAATGAGTGTAAAAATAGGTCAGACAAACATAAAATAGATACTAACATCACATTCCACAAGGAAGTAACGCGTTTCAACTTGTATTTTTATATAAATATTCACTAAAACCGAAAATTAACGTACTACTAAAACTGGCCTACATGAATTTGATTTTTGCCTCACTTGTGATAATTCGTTTCATATGAAACTATCATTCTATGCGTTATTATTCTAAGACTTTAAATATAAATAAGAAAAACTTGACCAGGCGTGTAGCTTACCATCAGGCGCACGACTTGTTCGTCCCGTCACTTAATGTTATGAAAAAAATTGGTGTTATGAAGATCCTGGCTCTGCATAGAGCATCTTCGTTTTCTTAATCGCTTCCTCACTGTTGAGAAACAAATGGATTGGAACACATGGCCCTATCAAATGGCCACCTCACAGTTCTGATCCGACGCCCCTTGATTTTTTCTTTGGGGCTATGTAAAAAATGAAATTTATAAAAAAAATACAAGTGTTCAAAAGTTGACAGACGCACTTGCAGCAATTTTCAATGGAATCCATCCGAGTAAAAATTCAGCTACTACTTGCTCTTTCCGAAAGAGAGCTAATCGATGCATCCGTCAAGATGGCAATCAATTCAAGCATTTACTATCATAGATTTTTTGTGTTGTTTTGCTTTTTGTTATTGTTTTTATTTTGAAATACACAATACGTTGACAATTTGTTAGTTTCATTAACTACCTAGAATAATTGATTATATAGGTGTGCATGCTCCATCGTCGATCTCATCGTCAGTTTCCATCGGGCAACGAAAGAGTAGAGAGAGAAAGAGTAGAGAGTAAAGAGAGCTTCTTGGGAAAAGTTTGTCCAGGGAAGTACTGCCAACTTACCTATTTCTGCCGCCAAACAGTATGATAAGCCCAGTGGCAGTGCCCCACAGGTCTTAACAATTTAAAGGAAATCATTCAAAATAACTAAAAAAGAATTGTGTTAAAATTGTGTTCAACTTCCAAGGGACTCATATATGCGGTGATTTCCGAGATACCACTCTTTACGATAATTCCAATGTCGCAACCTTTCAAGGTCCGCTAGACAACAAACTCAGGCGCAACCCGTGAGTTACTCTTGCTCAACAGTCTTCGGAACTTCTCAGTGAACCGCAGGCGCTCGACTGTGGCGCTAGCGTTTAGTGACAATTCGATTTTTGAAATTGGAAATTTGACGGTGAGTTTTTTCTTTGCATCTCAAAAAAAAATTGAATTTGTGAGTTTGTGAGTGAAATTTTTGATTACATCATTTACTTTTGCATTAACATTAAAGCCTGATAAACCTTAACTATAAAAAAAACATTCCCGTCAATTATAATTCGTATTTTTGGTATAACAAAGTCACATGTAATCGTACGTCAAAAGTGCTTTTATCACTTGAAAATTATAAAAATAATATTAATTAGATGAAATAAATTACGTTTATGTAAAATTTTACAACTCTTCTAAAAAAACTTATTGATTAATTTCATTCATAGATTTTGTAAACCTCTCTCCTGTAAAATTATCATTTTGCAGATGTGGCTTTGTTGCGCCTAATGTACGAATTAATTGTTTTTTTTTAAACTAATCCAGAAAACTAACAGTCCATTTTTCCGTCACATTGGAAATTATGGATATTCATAATAATTAGGTAATCATCCATTATTGCGTCCCTATTCACATAAGCATATGACTTACCTCTTATCGGAATAAATCTAGTCGTGAAAATTCCTAAACTTCCGTTTCTATAAAAAAAAATACTAATGTCAACGAGACTATTGAGTCGTTGACATTAGTTTTTATAAAAATATTTAAAATTAAAATGTGTATTGGCATTCTAATTTTAAAAATTTCAATACGTTTCTGCTAATTAGACGTCAAAAATTTTACTGCTATTTTAAGTAGGTAAACGTCAAAATTAAATTTATTTACTGAAATTGACGTGACTGATTACTGTTATTTCTTCCGAGAATTTAGAAGTTATGTCCGACATATTGACTTTTTCTTTTATCACGCGATAATCATCATAAAACTGTAATCGATTTTATGACCCGATTATCACGATTTGCTCTATGAATCCCAAACCGTATACGAAAGATGTTGCAGAATGAATACAATTTTTATTACTAATTTTCAAGCCAAAAAAAAACGTGTTATTATTTATTTGTTGAGCATTGGGTGTAGAGTCATTAGCTTAAGCAAGTAACAAATAATTAAGACACTCAAAACGTGTTAATAATACTCATACTAAAAATTAATTTGTAAAAACTGTAACTACAAAAACCCGCCATTTTAAAAACCATGTTATTTTTCAAGTTTTTTTTACATGCACTGACAATTATTCAAATACCGCGAGTAATTTCACGTTATTTTTTCCTTTTTTTATATATGTCGTTTTTTCGTTTACTAATGTCCTTGGTAATTTAATCTACACTTGGTAATTTAATAGAAATAGGAGTGGACGAAGAAGAGTCCATTTTAAAATGGGTGGATGGTGTATCAGTTAATGTCCATGTCGCTATATATAACGCGTAGAAATATCTCTTCGTCTTGTGAAATATATAAATAGTTGACTTTATCACCTCATCAACCATGACGTTGGTTTGTTTGAAAATACAAATATACGCGAATTAAACCTGGAATAATAATTACATTTCCTATGTGTAACAATCGCGAAAACCTAAGAACTCAATATATATATAAAACTATTTAGTTTATTTTAAGAATCAGAGAATGCTTAGAAGCATTTGAGTTGTGAGGCTGAAAGGAATCAGTTGGAAAGAAAGAATAAATTAACGAAGAGGTTTTTAGAATATTGTAGGAAACAGTCAAAACAACAAAGAGAACTGAGGTGAAAGATCTTTGGGCACCTGATACTATACGATAGTTTTCTTAGAGCATTATAACAAAAGGTGGAAGAAAAACTAAGTAGAGGAAAACAAAAAGTAAAGAACAGGGCTTAGTAGCACGCCATAAGAAACACCAAACCATATTTTCATAATCACCATTAAAGAATATTATATTTGATTATCATCTAATAGATTCAGTTGTTGCTACTGTTTAATTCAGTAAAACCAAAATTTTGACAAATTACATAGAACACTTTAGTATTAGTCAATAAAACTGCATGTTTCAAAAATATTCAGTTATGCGGCTATTCAACCTAAAATACTATAACTGCCTCTGTGGCTGAACAGTTACCTTGCTGGACTGCCACGAGGTCTCGGGAATCGATCCCGGGCCGGGAGAAATACTTGTATGGCCTATATTTATTTCTCTCGTTAGTTTGGGTGTAATTTGTGGTTGTTCATGTGTGTGTCCATGACACATACGGCAAAGGTTTTCCCTAGTGCGAAGCTAAAAACAAAACTCTATAATGTAAAATTTTATAACTCTCTTATTTTTCAGACATAAACTAATTTAGTTATTTTTTTCAATTTTTGTAGCAGTAGAGCTCCTTGGGAAGAGGTTCATCCAGGGAAGTACTGCCACCTTATCTATTTCTGCCGCCAAACAGCAATGTGAGCATTGCTGCTGGTGATATTACAGGCACATGAGACTTGTCAACTTCGGGCACAAGGCTCTCATATCATAACTATTTAACCTTTTAGCGCCCAGAAAAACTGCAACAGGGAAAGCGCTTAACACCCAATGTTCATTCAAATGTACTAAATATAATTATTTACAAGCTTGAGGCCCAAGCCAGTATGCCCTCAGTTTTATATGAAAAAACGCTGTATTTTTCCAGATACCCTATGGTCAAATTGAACTTCTATTATGTACATTTCGATGTACACAGGGCCTTAGGAGGTTAAAAGCGCTGAACAGCACTGCTGCAACTGTTATAGACAGGCATGTCGCTTACCAATAGACGCACGAGTGGTTCGTCCCGTTACTTGGTATTATAAAAAAACAGCCTTGTTGGTGAAATGGTGTTTTAGTTCATACTCGAAAAGTTTATTAGTTGCCAGCTGATGCTTGCAACTTTGTGTTCGTGGAATAAGTTACACGTAGTACTTATTCCACGAACACACACTAATTTTCATAGTTTTACTGATTCTCCATACAAAATTTCATCATCATTTCATCACCTTGGAGATTTAATTTTGTGTCAAAAGTAGCCTACGTCCTTCTCCTAGATCCCACCTATCTCTATTCATCAAAATTAGTTCAGTAGTTTAAGCTTGAAAACGTGACAGACTTGGTTTCTTTCGCATTCATAATATTATCGAGTTCTTAGGTTTTCGCTATTGTTACACATAGGAAATGAAACTATTATTCCTGCGTGTATTTGTTTTTTCAAACAAACCGACGTTTCCCCTTTACAGGTCCCATGGTCACGGTTGACCATGATTGACAGTCAACCGTGACCATGGGACCTGTAAAGGGCCCGAAACGTCCGTTTGTTTGAAAGAAAAATATACGCGATTTAAATCCGGAAAAATAGTTTCATTTCATAATATTAGTTAGGATTTGTTAAACAGATCTATCTCCAACGAACACTACGCCAACTTAATTTTTGGTCTTGTTCTGTTTTCATTTTGTTTTTTGTTTCTTTATTTCTATTTTACAAAATTCGTTGATTTTTTCGAATTTTGTATTTTGTTTCTTTATTTTTTTCACTAAATTTGGTGAGCATAATATTAGTTAATAAATACTTTTGGCTGTATAGGAGGTATCGAGACCATTATTTTAAACAACATAGAAATAAGAAACAAAGCATTTTAAACAACGCTCGTTAACCGTATAAAGTTTATATTCGCTCACTCTTATGATGAAATTTTACTCACCTTAAAGTATGAGATCAAGGGTAACCAGTCACAAGCGATTGGGCAACACTAAAGGAGCTGATTTGGACAAAAATTTCGCATGATTTCTTTGCCTTACATTGGTGGGAGTCATGCTTGATTCTCTGCGCTCGATTTTTTAAAATATTATATTGGCTAAACAAAAACAAAATTTTTAATCAAAGATCTATAATGTCGATGCCGATCTATAGAAAATGCCAATGGAGAATTTAAGGGAAATTTAAAATGTATCTTTGTTTTTCCGTGTTTTTTTTGTCTAAACAAAAATAGGTCTTGTTTATGTGTATACTCAATATAAAAATATCCAACAGAGAAAATTGATTTTTTCGAATATGTAGAGCATAGCCGTTAAATTAGTAATCTAGGTAGATAATTGTCTAGGCAAACCTCTGAGGTAGGCATTGTGGTGTAATTTTTTTATAATATCAAGAGACGAGACGAACAAGTCTTGTGCCTGATGCTAAGCTACTCGCCTGTCCATAACATTGCAATCCCACTCAGGGCTTTAAATCGTCAAGATCTGAGGGGCACTGCCACTGCGCCCGTCACTCTGAGACATAAGTTGACAAGTCCCATGTGCTTGTAATTTTACCAGCGCCCTTACCTTTCAAAACCGGAACACAGCAATGGGTAACCTATCACAAGCTCGATTTTTTCCGAAATAACGTTTGTTCGAATTTTCGTTACACCGAAAACCGAATTATAACGAAACCGCTGTTCTTCCAGGATACCTTGGATGTTTATCGCAAAGACACGATTAGGTTCGGTTAGATTAGGTTCAGTTAGATTTAAAAGAAAAAACATTTTCCTCTCAAAATTACTTTCGAGGTGTGAAAGTTCGAGCAAGCGTTATTTCTGGAAAATGTCATTTCGGACCACTGATAGGTAACCGCAGCAATGCTCACATTACTGGTGGCAGTACTTTCCTGGAGGAACTCTTTAACAAGTACTGTACTGTACTGTACTGCTACTAATTGTATGTGAATAGTGCTGTGTGTAATAAATACTATAATTATTAAATACAAAGATCGAACACACAGAAAAATTCTATCGACCCGAACCTGCGACCACGGGATTCCGTCTCGGTCGACGAAATTCTTCAGTGTATATTGATAATAAAGACTAATTAATACCTGTTTAATGATCGTGATTTTGGGCTAAGTATTTAATGATCATTAGCACGGGACCGTATGGCGTCGCACATAAACTTGGAGGCCTATACCCAGCACTAACTTACTAAACTCTATACAAAGTATCTTATTTATTAATTGATGTGTTGAGATAAATAAACGATTGTGTTATTATTTTGGATATCTGTTTTACACTCTCACCTCTTCCAGGAGACAAAGATAAATCAAAATTTTTTTTTTAGGCACTGGGAGATTAG